GAAAGAGGAGAGAAGGGAAAGGAGGAGAAGGGGAAGGCAGGGGAGGCAAGGGGATGCCCTGGACAGAGGAGGCATTCACAGAACAAACTGGTCCTCTTGACTTGATTAGACATCATTGCCCAAAATTCATTTCTTGGTTGGTGGATACTTTGCAGTCCTGCTGTGCATTCAAGTTCTAGTGCTCCATGTCTCTGCCTCCAATTCTAACACAACTCAGCATCCTATTCTGCATAAATTAATCTAAACAGGACCACATATATCAGGTTTTAAAAATGGAACATCTGAGTATGGGAAGTCCTTAGTCCATTTGTGCTGCAAAGGCCTCATCATCAACTCTTGCCTTGGTCAAAGATCCACTCTTGGTTAGTTGCATTCTCTCATTGAAATGCGAAAATCAACTGTATGTGCAGATGTCAGAACAGAAGACTAGGCAATGATGTATTAACCAGTTTGACTTGTTGGTCTGCATTGGGTCACTGCATTCTGTTCTCTAGTTTGTCTTTCTTATTTTTCCATATCTCTGCTTCCAAATCAAAGATGGACTCCCGATTAGACCATTGGATGTATCTTGACAATAGGATGCTGGACTGTCTACCATTGTGTACTAGCAATGTTAGGACACACTTAATGACGAACTTATGACTGCTTTGTCTTAAGGTGTATGTTAAGATCAGAGCGTTTTTGAAGATAAACCAACACAGCACCAGTCTCTGTGAAGGACCCACTTCACAATGACCAAGAGTCTTTTGAGCAATGGCTGCTGGACAGCTCCCTTACCTGCGATACCCACTTTGTCTCATGATAGGCACATGCTATGGAAGGCGGTGAGCAGTGTCACCTCTATTGTTCTTGGGAAGGTGTACCGAGTCCTACTTATCCAAGGCAGGTGCACTCGTGTGCTGCGAGCTCTTTCACTGACTGCCCACCTGCCCCACTGAACTCGCAGCCCTTGTGTCCAACAGATGCATGACAAGCCTGTGTGTGGAAAGTGTACACACCCTCCCTCTCTGCACTGCAGTGAAAAGGTGAACTGTGTCAGAGAAAAGAATCAGAAGCTCCACTAAAGCACTGTGTGATTCAAAAGCATGCAGACATGCTGCAGAGAACTGGAAAAAAGGAAATGTCGTACAAGCTACATTTAGGTCTAAACCTGAGGGAATCTTCCCTGCATTTGCCTTTATTTTGTAGTGTTTTAGTGTAATCCACAAACCATTGACCAGGGAGTTGTTTTGGATTTCAATATTTGAAATTTTCATTAGGCTATAAATTCAAACTTCTTTCTTTGGAAAATTCAATAATTAATTTCAGTGGTTACTGGAAAGGGCAGGTGTCAGCGGCAATCCTGTAGAAATGAAACACAGACAGGAGAAGTAAGGGCATATTCTCCTGACCCCAATTCACTGCCCAAGCAATTCATCTTTGGCAAAACAGCAGAAATTAAATTTTAAAACATCATGGGAAGTGGGTAGCAAGAAGATGAAAAATAAATCATATTTTGAAGGTTTAGAAAGTTTGAGGTAAAAAGGCACTTCTGGATGTTTAGTATTTCCTGCATTGTCCTATTGCCTTAAATTAATGCTTAGGACTTGAAGTCATGGTTGCAGGCCGACCTGCATTCGTGTTAGTAACACAGGACCTTAGTGTCGACAATGGTCACATGTAATTCATTACTAAAGATTTAACATCTTGTAAAAGCGGATTTAATTTTGCTAAATGTAACATTGGCTGCTGCCCTTCCTGTTATAAATATTAATTTCCTCTCATTTTTCTTGAGGCTGGCTGCCACAGTCCAGAAGCTGTAAAGCCAGTGCTTGCTAGGTGTGGGGTAGCCAGTGCTGCTATTAGATGGCTGTGGGGAATTCAGCCAGGGACCAGGAGATGACATTTTGATTCACAGTAAGATTTCGTTAAGAGACATGGCTAGCGTGTGAGCAGTTAGCCTGGAGTTCAGACACCTGCATCTCATGCTAGAGTACCGGACTGGACACCTAGCTCTGGCATTTGATTCCAGCCTCGAGTCTGTGAAAGCCTGGGGACCAGCGGTGTTCTCTAAGTGGTCCCTTCCTGTCACCTGCAGAGGAGGCTTGAATTCAGTGTCCAGCTAGCCTGGGGACCAGCAGTGGGCTGTCCTTGACTGCTTTCCCAGGCTGCAAGCAGGGAGCAGGATGGGAAGTGGAGCTGCCAGAATTAGAATCAATGCCCATATGGGATCCTGTGCATGCAAGGTGAGGACTTTAGCCACTAGGCTTTCACACTGGATCCAAGTGTATCAATTTTTAATGGAAAAGATGAATGAAGTAGGCAAAACAATCCCTTCCGCCGCCACACACCCAGACTACTGCAAATGGCCAGATGTAACAGGCACTACGGCTGCGGACGGCGCTGAGTTGGTACATTTTTTTCAAACGAAGCCATCATGCTGGAGTATCCCAGGGGACCTGATAATCATGTAAACCCTTCAATGTGATGAGCACAAGGAGTGAACTGGAGATGTGACACTGAAGAGACCAGTGAGAAGTGAAGTGTGGGTAGGAGCTGCCCTGCCATTGCTGAACTGGGATGTGGAGGAAGGGCCACAAGGCTAGGACCACGGGAGCCCCTTCAGGCCGGAAGAGCAAGAGCAAGGACACGAGTCTGCTCCTGGAGACTGGAGCGGGAAGTAGTCCTGCCAGGACAAGGATTTTAGCTCAGGCAGACACTCGTAAGACTTCTAACACAGACAACTGTAAGGGCATAACTTTTTGCCATTTCAAGCTCCCAGACAGGTAGTAATTTGTTAGAGCAATCACAAGAAAGAAGCCCACAGGAGTAGGAGATAAATTTCTTGCCACCCAGGCTGTGATGTTTTGTGATGGCAGCCAGTTAGCAGACGCAACAGACCTGGAGTCTGAGCTCAGCTCCCAAACACTAAATAAAGACAGCACTGTGTATTCTCAACAAATATCATTTATTCCAACTACACCGGAAAATTGATAACATCGACAAACATCTTTTTAAAAAAACACATACTAAATTGTATCAACACAATTTAGAATTTTTAAATTATTTGCTCCTTTTTGATTATCCTTCAAATACATTCAGGACTAAAACTTAGACCTTTGAGAATGTCTAAGATCACAGGTTTGATTTTTGGTTACCTTTGAATTTCAGAAATGTTGGCTTGTGGTTGTGTTTTCAAAGAAAATTTGTGTCCAATCTAATGTTAAGATCGCAGAAGTGAAGTTTGCATTTAACCTAATGTAAGTGAAGATTTATTTTTTTTAACTCCTCTAATGAAACAATATTAATCACAGGAAGCAAGAAGTCACTGGAAAATCGAATAAGGAAAGGAATAAATTGGAATATAGCAAAAATAGAATGAGGAAAATGCACTTAATTGGGGTGGATGTCAAAACAGAGCCAATGTTGGACTTTATTTGTTTTGGTGGTTGGAGATAGGGTGGGTGTGAGAGAGACAGATTAATTCCACTCAATGTTTCACGTACCCCAAAACCCCCAAACTGGAGTAGAAACCGGAGCTGAGAGCTCAAGCCAGGGTCCCAGGCGCCGTCACCACCAGCTCCTGGGGTCAACATCAGCAGGACCCAGGGCCTGACCACACGCTTGCATAGGCCATGGGTGGCTGATCTGGAAGACCAGATGCAGGTGGGAGTGCTGGCAGCGTGAGAAGGTTTAGTTCTTCCTTCATTTTAAAGTCCTTATAGCATTTTTGTTATGTAGATATTTTTATGCTTTTGGACAGATTTGGTAAACAGTTGTTTTTGTTCTCAATAGCAACTGGTTTTTAATCAGGTAGATGCTTCTGGGTAAAAAAAAAAAAATAGATGCAAGATTGATTTTCAAACAACATGTGCTGCACCCATGGGAACCTGAATCCCATTAGGAGCTCACAGTTTGCTGATCATGTCTTTGTTTTTGCTCATGAGATGGAAGAGCAGTAAGTTAAACATATGCTGTTGATTGTTCTAAAATATATTTTTATTTTGAATTTTGAGTTATGTGGTACAATTTCATATAGGCTGTGATTTCCCCCCAAAACTCTCCCCTGCAACAGATTTTCCCCATTTATTACAATGATGTAGTCCTTCATAAAGAATCATAATTCTAATTCTGTCAGTTTCTTATGTAAGTGTACTCTGACATTGTTGGTACAGACAATGTCAGTCCAGCATAATAGTTTATTATTTTAATCAATAATTATAATTAATAATCTATAATAATTGATAATCAACAATAATTGATTATTTTCTTCAAGATTTTTGATTGGCCTAAACTTATCAAGCTCACTGAATTTTCTGGGGTGTTCCTAATGGCTTAGCGGCTTGGCCTCATTTGCTCCTGACACGGGCATGTAATATCCATGACATGGATTGGAGAAAAGCATGGCAGATTACAAGAATGGAGCCTCACCCAGCGAGGAAGTGGCAGAATGCCTCCATCCATGCTGGCAGAGACAGTGCTTGCCACAAGAAACCATCAGTACTTGTGAAAGGAAGCAGACTTTTTAGCTACAAATCTGCGTAGAATTCTTCCACGCCAGAAAATAAAACCAAAAAAAAAAAAAGCCATTCAAGAAAAATATGTCAACTACAAAGACAAGAGTGTGTAATCAGAGTAGTGAAGAGACTGGCGAGAGGGTTTGGGAACAGAAACAAGGGTCTGCTCAGTTTGTAGAATGAAAAATTTGTCACTAATTCTTGAGGCTGCCTTGTTTTTCCTATTGCTGTTTAAAGAAGCCCTGCCTGCCGTGCTGCTGGATGTGCGGGCCAAGCAGGAAGACGGGATGCTGCCGCGCCTGAGCGAGGAAGACAGCTCCACACTCCCCCGTTAGCGCCTCATTAAGCACCTGGTCCACATTGCTGTGTTCTTATCAATACTGTTTAAAGGAAATAGACGAACGAAAACATTGCTAAGCTGTTTCACATTCGGAGCTGACTTCTCATCACTGATTCTTTTTTCTTTTTTTAAAACATAAATATTATGTGCTCATTTTATTTTAGGCAGAAGATATAACATGTATACCATGACATTCCCATTGGCCAAACTGCTGTCAGATTCCAGACTGTTCAAAGAAAATTGATCCAGAGTGGGTATGTGTCTTTCCAGAATTTTACTAATAGCATTTCCACAGTTTCATTTATTAATTATTTAAGTGGATGCACAAGATCTTACATGCATACCTATGAATACAGATAAAGCCAAGCTTGCTTCCAAAGCTCATGGGGAATGAGTATAATGGGAAGAACTATACATGGCTTTGAAAAAATTTTCACTAAAATATATCTCTAAAATTCTGTTGTCTATGTACTTTGTGAAGTCAGAGCATATATATTCCTTTATTTTGGTTCTGCATACGTTTCTAAATGCAACAGGTCTTTCTAAGCATATTTTTTGTATTTTACATTTCTAGTAGATTTTGGAGTTATTCCATGATAACGTGTGGCATTTTCCTGTATTAAGCTGGGTTTTAGAAAGGTTCTGACTAACGCACCAACAAGCGACACGTGAGCATCTGTGCACCTGTGTGTGCAAGTGTGCAGCTGCCTGGGACTGCACACCTGTGTACAAATTAAACATGAATTTAGATGATTGTGTGTGTGAAATGCAGTCATGTGTCTCTTTATGTACGATACCTTTAACTGATAAGTCTACATTTGATTCCTGATATAAACTCATTTGTTGTACACATGTTGTTATCTTTGCTTGTTTGTTTTACCTTGATGAGTCTGTTGCATTTAGGATGTTTGTTTTCACACTTAAAACTTTTGCTGCTGTGGCTTTCTTTTCTTACACCGTTCTTCTTAATTGAGCAGCCCTATTAAAAACCAGTCATGTATCTTCCGCCTGTTACAATGATAGAGACTCTGCTGTGCTTTCTTCCTGTTGGACATGGCTGTTAGAGCGTATCACTTTATATTTTAACAGGACTAATACTGATATTAGCAATGGAACCCTTATTTTATAGACCTTTTGCTATTTATTTATGCTTAACCCTGAGCCCTGAACACAAATTCCTTGTTCCTATGAGCCCATTCATTCTGAGTGGCTTTAATGAGCTGTGTTAATGGGGGTCCCCATCAGAGCATTATGTGCTGCTTTGAACAGTAAGGGGTGAAGGTGTGGAGTAATTGGTGTCTACTTTAGGCCTCAAGGTCTTTTAGTGGCAATGGAGGGAGGAGAGAAGAAATAGACTTTTGAAGATTGGACTTGGCCTACCAGCAATGCTGACTTAATTAACTTACCCCAAGTTAATTGGGGTAAATGAACTAAAGATGCTAATATTTTAACTGCTAAATGTTTTACTGGATGTTCTGTTTTATCTCTGTGAAGAGATAATCTCACTGTTTTAATGAATATGTTCAATGAACTTGAAATGAAAAAGGAAAACACAATTGTATATTCAGATGCATCCCTTCGTTACTTTGTTTTGATGCTACGTGCTGACAGTCAAGGCGTGAGATGGGCAGACAACAAAGGGACAAGATTCAGAAATCCTGATTCCAGCCCTGGGAACATTGCTTTCATCTTCATGCTTTGCCTCATTTGTAGTTTATATTAAACTGATTTTTAAATGAATAATTCTATGGATCTTTGAAGTAACATCTTTAGTATCACAGTAGAGTATAATCCTGAGAACGTTGACATTGATCTTTAAGATTTAGGATACTCTCACCCAGTCAAGATCTCCCCTGTTCTCAGGCACACCCACCTGAATCCTGGGCCGCCACTAATGTGTGCTGTGTGTCTGTAAATCGGGACTTTAGTGACTGCTGTAGACACGGAATCACACAACACACAACGTTTGGGGGTTGATTTTGTCTTTGTACTCAATGTACTTTTATAGATTCTTCCAGGTAACAGCGCATTGCTTTTTTGTTGCTGAGTAGTGTTTTATGATGCCGCTGTATTTTGTTTAGTATTCACCATTGAAGGGTAGTGGAATTGAGGATTAATTATGTGACTTTCTGTGTAGGAGTCTAGTTAGTTTCAACAAAAGGCAAGGCGAGTCCACAGCTGCCTCTTCCTTGTTCTTTTTTACCTATCATTGAAAATTAGATCTTTGCTTTTTTGCCTCTCTGAAACAATATTTAAATATGCTCCTGATTAAGTATCTAGTAATGATCCTAGCTTCACACAGAAAGTGTAACTCTCAAAGGAGTTTGGGTGAGGTTTATGACAATCTAGTTCTTCCATTTGACAACATAGAAATTATACATGTGATATTTCAATATATGCATATGTGTATGTTGATTATTGTTCAGGTCAAGGTGGACACAACCCTTTCCTCAAGCACTTGCTTTAGTTCATGGTATCAACCCTTACAGTCTGTCTCCTTTTTTGAGGAGAAATTGGTAGAACATTGTCATTATTGATGGCCACCCTCCTGAGAGATGAGAACTCCTCATGCTCATCCAGCTGTAACTTAACACTTCATAGGCAACATTCCTCTGCCTCTCACCCCTCCTCCTAATCACACGCATGATGATGCAATAAGAGGTTCTTACTAACTTCCCTTCTCTTTGGTCCTAGTGTCATGAATCCTATCTTGGTAGAATTTACATTCACTGACAAAACTTAAGTGGTGACATGTTTGGACAAGGGTCCTCTGCTATTTTGGGTATGAGTCAGAGTGTCTCTTGGCAGTCCTAAATCTATGTTTTTCTTATAAAAGTAGTATTTTTCTTGCCAAATCATCAGTGTGTCCCAGGTTACTCTACTCATTTTGTCAATTGCATGCCAAGCAGTCCTATTTTTCCTCCCATCTTCCTTAGTGACTCAGATGCTCTGATTTGGGTTACTTGCTGTTCGTTTGCTCCATTGTTCTCAGAATAAATTTTATCCCTGTTTACCTCTAGATTCTTGGCATCCTTCTACAATAGAAGGAACACTTTTACAAAGTATTCCATGTCAAAATACAGGTTCAGAACATGCGATGGAAGATTGCATTCTCCGTGTGTGCCATGCTCGGTTGGTCCAAGTGCTTGTCGGAGATGAGCTGCCTCAGTCTCGATGCTGAGCCTTTGAAGGATGTGCTGTTACTATGAGGGATCTGAGGGGCTCAACCAGCTCGCCCGAAGCCCCATGGCTGTTAAATATGATGGGTGCACTTAAATTAGGTAGTCTAATTGCAGACATCATTTGCATAGTGACCATGCTGAATTTCTGAGTTTCATTCCAACCATGGAAGCTTGTAATGATTGTAGTTATTAATAACTAAAGTCCAGGTGGCAGAGACTATTGGGAGGGATTTAAAGAAGGGAAGAAGGGAAGGGGGTAATTATGATAATCTTTGAGCGGTATCTATGAAATATATGAAACATGTTTTGCTTATGGTAACAAAAATAAGACAAGAATGCAAAAAATAAACTGCTGAGATTTGTGTCCAATGATTGCAAACCCTTAGAGACCTGTTTTGAAATAGCCAGTTGTAAGAGCTTCTAAGAGTTGATGATTATGTTTTATGTGTGTCACCGGCATCCTGTCTAATACTTTGCACACAGTAGGTGCTCAGCAAATAATAGTTGAGTGCATGACTAATGGTATACATTTCCAGGCAGCAGAGTCCATGGCATACACTGCTGTGGCTCCTCTTGCTTGCTGTTGCACTCCTGTGGCACTCCAAGCACAGTATGAATGAAGTAATAGTGATCTATTGGAGCACATACCTGACCTTTGTAGCTGGGAATTGGCAGCCGCTTTAAGCCCTTAGGACAGAAGACAGTTTGGTCATTAGAATGTATAATCTAGGGCAGAAATAGGGAAAGGCAACATTCCTGATGAGGCACGCGGATATGTTGGAAAGAATATCTACGTTTTTGTCATGTTGAGTTGATACAGTTAGCACATTGTCTTCCCTGTAACGGATGCTGCTGTACCTTCTGAATGTAAGAGAGCCGATGGAAAATAAGACACACACACCTTTCCCTTTATCCTTGTCTGCTGTTTGCTTGCCTTTGAGATCTGTTTAAATGTGTTGTAATCCTGTGCAAGTAATACTACCATTCCACGTTTCACTGTATGTATAAAATCAAGAGAGATATGCTTATTTTAAAATCCTTTCGTGAACACTACAGAAGTTACAGAAGGCCATTTGAAAAAAGGAAATAGAAAACATTCGATTCATATTAGTTAGACTTGGTTTCTTTTTTCTCAGCAGTGAAACAGCAAAACAGTGGTAATAACTGCTTATCTCTTTTACCAATTCAGTCGAGGTTTCTTTTTTTTTTTAAAACCTGGCGTATGTGTGTGTGTGTGTGTGTGTGTGTGTGTGTGTGTGTGTGTGTTTGAAATGCAGACAGAGAGAGAAAGAGAGAGAGAGAGAGAGAGAGAGAGAGAGAGAGAGAGAGAGAGAGAGAGAGAGCTTCCCATTCACTGGCTCACTCTGCACAGGGATGCAATGGCTGGGCTGGGCTGGGCTGAAGTTAGGAGACAGGAACTTCTTCCCGGACTCTCACATAGATGCAAGGGCCCAAACACTTGGGCCACACTCTGCTGTTTTCCAGGGCACGTTAGCAGGGAGCTGGGTGGGAAGTGAAACAGGCAAGTGAAGCGGTGGGATTCAAACCAGTGACCATGCCTGATCCACAGGCATCAACTTAACCTGTTACACCACATACTGCTCCCCAGGCTTCTTTAAGAACATTCTTAATCGTCAGCCTCAAGTTTGGACCAGGATGTGACCACTTCTCTTCCTAAAACCCCAAAACGACCTTTGAGATTTGGGCCACTTTGATTGCTCTGCATCACTTCAGAGAAACAAGTGAAAACACACTTAATGTCCACTGCCCACTGGGATATCCAAGAGGGGTGTTTGTGTCCACTCCTTCAGACCTCTTGGACCACCCTGGATCCCAGGTCCTTTGGATGGCCACCATTTTTCGTTGCAGCTGTGGCCCCATAATTGACAGAAGCCTGGAGAGGGAATGACCTGGGTCCAGATGGCCATCTTGGCTTCAGACCTGGACACTGGTTGCTCTGATGTGGACCTTCTTGTGTTGCTGCCAGGAACTTAATGATGATTTTAGTACCTCCTGCTCACAGGTGTCAGTGCTCATGGCTCTAAGCTGCATGGCCTTACTTTAGTTAGCTG